CATCTGGATCATATGAAATCATAAAAGTGGAATTCTTTTTGGAATATTTCATAAATGAAAGCTCTGCAAACCGTCATAAGAAAGGACAACGACACGGGTTGTGCTAAAGGTGATTTGAAGTTTCTATCTTTATCCGTTCATGAGTTTGATTGGCCGCGACGGCGCCCAACTGGAGCCAATAGGAGCGTCCGATTTCAGAGACGTGACTCTAGACGTCACCAGCCAAGATGGCGGATGAGAATCGATCGGTGTACACACGGGTGGAAAGCAGCAGTGCTCCAGGGAAATGTTAAGACTCACTTTCCATGTTAGTTTATCGATGGAAGTAAACGACTCACACACACAAACAGGAGCTTGTTGGGAAGCGGTGACTCTCTAGTTTAACGCGTCTCTGGCTCAAACCGTCGCAGACAACATGATATTTGGGAGCGTGTGCTCGGATTAAGTTGGAAAAGTGGGACAAATGCAGAACAAGGGAAGAAGAAAAAACACTCAGCTAAATATAAAAAATAGTTGTGCAGCAGGAATGAAAGTTACATATTACTGCTGTTTGTCATGTTGGGAAATACACTAATTATCTTTCTTGGGGAGAAATATGAGGCTACCACCATTAGCCAGTTAGCTTAGCTTAGCGAAAACACTGGAAACAGGTGAACAGCTCACCTGGCTTTGTCCGAAGGGAACAAAAAGACGCCTCCACACATATTTAAAGCAAATTAATTAACGCGCTTGTACCAATGTGGATGTGTTTCTCTGCAAAAACGTGAACAAAAGTGAAATCCTTCCCCGTACACTGCAGCCTCTTCACGCTGACTTCGAAGCCATGGCAGTAATGACAGCTTGTTTACTTCCAGAGATTCTCCTGTAATCGAAAGCTTTTCTGAGCTGCACTCATCACAGGATGACCTTGTTCACTGGGAACTACAGTGTTCAGTGTCTTCTTCCAGACAGGAGACACAGCGTCGTGTGGTGGTGAAGGCACCAATCTGCTCCGGTTACAACGCTCCATGTTTTTTATTAGATGTAAAACAGAAACAAGAAGCCTTAGTAAAACAATCAGTTCCTGGTCTGACCTGTGGTGTGCTGTGGAAACATTACTTCATCCCTCAAGTATGACAGACAGGTCCGGAGCTGACATGAATATACACTTCCTGCATGCATAAAATCACATATACATACATTTGGTGTACACGCACTGTCAGATCGCTGACAAATCTGAAGCTGAGTGATGGAGAGAGATGGAGAGATGAAGAGGGGTGGGGATGAAGCAGTGCTGCTGCTGCTGCCGCCGCCGCCGCTGCTGTTGTTGTTGTTGTTTTTTTTCCCCCCCTCCATCCTTCGCTCTCGTCACCGTCATCACCTCTCTGAGCGTCGTACAGGGAGAGATTCATCACATAAACACCCCCCCCACCCTCCCCTGCTTTTTTTTTTTTCTTTTAAATGCCCTCCGAAAAAAATGGCAGCCTTTCAACTGCCTCTGCCCCAAACCAACATGGCTGCCAGTCGGCGCTGCCAACGCCGGTGCCCTTTTCTCCAATTTGGCCCCCGTCCAGCTTTTCACGCTGATTGCATCTCTCCCTGTTAGGGCCTTGGTTTTGGAAGGAGTGATGTGGTGAGCGAGCGAGTGAGCGAGGGAGGGAGAGAGTGCCTGTTAGGGCCTTGGTTTTTGGAAGGAGAGATAGAGCGAGGGGAGGGGGAAGAGCGCCAATACAAACATTGTTCCGCTGGCTTTTTACAAGCCAGGAGAGTGGGGAAGTTAATAAGCAGGTATTGGTTTTTAACTGCGGCCCGTTTATTGCTTTGCCCTCGAGCGTGCTGGAGTGCTCCACTCCACCTTTTTCCTGTCCATCTGCCCATCACCTCTGCTAACCTCCCTCTCCATGTCAGCTCTCCTTTTGTCTTGACTCGCCTCGTTCGGCCATTAATTCAGCATCCTCATCATCTGGTTTTTTTTCTCTGCCTCTAGCTGACTTCTTCTCTTCACCTTTTCCTGCCCCCCCCCCCGCCTTTTTAAATTTCTTTATTTTAAGCCGTGGTGGAGCCATGTGAAAAAAATTACAAACAAGCCCAACATGAACCACTTAAATGACCTATCATTATGTCACTATTGATTCAGTGTACTGTGTTTATTGCGTATATGTATTAGGTTTTAAAACCACATCCGTCTGTCAATACCGGACTGTTATTAAAAATCGGATGTCAGCCAGTCGGTGTTGTCCAGCTCTGATGAATATGACGCAGATTAATTATGCTTTTATTGTGCAGCTGATCAATGTTGTCTGTGTTTCAATGGACGGTTTTAATTTGACCTTCCCTCAGAAGCTTTTCTGCTCTGCCAAGAACAAGAATGAATTTACTGGAGACCAATAGCTCCAGTTCTCCCAGTAAAACATTTAATTTCGCAGCTGGTTGTTTTGTCGTTTCATTTTCTCGTATATTTAGAGCATCAATAATAGAAAAATTGTTAGACTACCATTAGTATGAAAGATTAATATAATAAATGCATGATTTTTTTGTGTTAAAAGTTGAAGAAGGTCTGATTTTATCATGTTTCTTGCACTTCTGAGGCCAAACCTGGTACTTGACTTAAAAATAAAGGCCCTAAACATAACAAGCAGAGATGCTGCAGGAGAGAGACGCTGGTGAGGAGGAGGGATGACCAGACAGAACAGAGGAAGGGAGGGTGTTATGGTGTAGAAGAAGGCGATTTCATGTTCCTATAATCCTGAAACTGCTGCAGTATGTGTCCTCCCCAGGGCAGTTTCACACCTCCAACAAGGGATAAGTGACTAACTCTCACGGCGCAGGAAAACAGACCAAATTTAACATACTTATTCCACGAGCAATTAACACGGTGACTCTATGCAAAACAACAAGCTTGACTCGGGAGTCGGGAATACGAGCGCAAATCCCACGTACAGCTCTTGTGGGATTCTCGGTATCCACCCTGTCCTGCCCAGGAGGGCTATCCACTGATCCAACTAACACAAGCGAACGAGTGCAGGCGCTCAAGTGATGAGACTCCAGTTAGCCGTCGCAGCCAACGAGAGAGGCGGGGAAGCAGCCAATAGCCCGAGCAGAAGGGATCTGGGGGCCTGTAAATATCCACCCAGGGCTAAAGGAGCGAGAGTGTGAGCGAGCTCCGGCCTGCTTCCTCCTATCGCTCTCCTGGGCTACAGGAGGGAACAATAGCGGAGAATGGAGCAGACAGCATGAAAGGCAACGCCACAGCATCAACACACGCCTTTGTAGTGCGAGCTAAACACCAGCGCCAAGACAAACAGAAACACAAGCAAGCAAACACCACCAGTGGCACCTGAACATGCATGACGTGACACCCGTTGATAACGCACATGTACGGTGAGATGGTTTTATTCATCAGAAACTCTTCACACATCCAAAGTAAAGGTAGAAAACACTTTCAACATGGTGTTAAAACTTCAGGAAAAGACAGATTTTTTAAGAAACAATGATTGTAAGTGAAGTGTGTCACTATGGGCAACTCTCTCTCTCTTTCAGTGTTATCGTCAGAAGAAACACTCCTCCTCCTCCTCCTCCTCCTCCTCCTGCCCCCCTATAAAAGCAGCTGACGCAGCATCACTCAGGTTAAGGCCGCCTCTTCCTCACTTTACATGAGGAGGGTTTTCTGGTCAAACACCTCAGGCGCTCATGCTCAGGAGAGGAAAAGGATAAAATGACCCCAGGGTGAAGGCAGGATCAGGTCTGGGCCAGTTCCAGTTTCCAGACCAGAGATTTTACAACCACAGGAACACACTGGGTGTTTGCTGGTACAGCTAACTTGGGTGGGCAAGACAGGGCAAATACGTTTAATGGGGTAAGGCAGCAATATTATGCTACGTGGACCTAGCTAGTATAGCAGCAGCTATGTTATGCTACGCGGATCTAGTGAGTATCGTAGCTAGCGCTTGTGCTACCTCTGCTTGGTGGCCGTTAGCAGTAGCTAATGGTGTTTACTTGTTTGGCTAACTGCGGTGTTAGTTGCGTGATGACTGCTAAGACTATTGTGAAGCGTAGCTGTTAGCAACTGACAAACACTAAGTCGTGCTGGTGTCTAGTGACCGAGGTGTTAGCTTGCGCAGCTGAACTGTTAAGCTAGGTCCACACTCATGTGTTCTCATTTTAAAACGAAAATGAAAATATTTTGTCTAACTACACGGGGCACGTGCACGCCGCTGTGAACAGGAAGCAGACTGTCGAAACGGCAGTTGGCTAGTTGCACAAAATACTACGGATGAGGAACAGCAAAGACAGCTGTAGCGTTCAAATGCAGAATTTAGCTGCACAATAGGTGCTAGCAAAGACAAAAAGGTCAGCAGCGCTTGTCATTTGTTATCCATGTTGCTTTCAGCACTGGTAGTCGAGGCTGATAAGAACCAACCAGGGAACGAACGTGAGTGTCTACATGTTCATTTTTGGAGTTTTAGATAATTGAAATTTTCAGAGTAGTGTGGACACCAGACGGAAAAACGTAGCAAAAGTGATGCATTTTAAAACTTAAGCGTAGCGACGCTGCGTCAACCTTTTTCATAGAGGAAGAGCGAGCTCCACCTTGACGCAAGCATACAACAGTGATATACAGGCTTCTGAGGTTAACACTGAGAGACTGTTCACATAGTAAGACACACAAAACAAATGTTTAAACTGCATTTGTTTACAAGAAAATTGCAGGTGGTACCTTTAACATGAATTCAATAGTTTGCACTTTCTTTCACAAACTAACTGACAGTCATTTGCTCACCTGCTCGCACTTTCGGTCACTCACACGCTTGCAAATGCTCTGTGGCAGCAGTGCAACACACACTGATGTAAAAAAACCAGTGTATTCACACACATACACACACACACACACACACACACAGACAAGACACACACGCGCGCACACACACACACAGGTTGGGGCGGGGCCGCCTCAGGGTGCTGCTGTAAGTGTGTGATTAGAGGAGAAAGTAGGCAGAGGAGAATGGAGGACACACACTCACCCCTGTTAAGGTCTTTATGTTATGCAGTGCATTCTGGGCTTCAAGGGCAGCTTTCCTTGTATAAAACGTGACAAAACAGCAGCCTGGGGAGAGAGACAGAGAGAAGGGATGAGCATAAGGAGCAACAAAGAGCATTTTCTCTATTCATCTGCTTGGCATCACCTGTCGACACTGGCAAACGCTGAGTGAATGTTAAGGACGAAACATCCTAGCTGAGGGGAAGAGAATGCTTTTGGATTCGTTTCAATGCTGATGACTTGAGCCTCGAGGAAGTACACACACACACGCGCACGCACACGCGCACACGCACGCACACACACACACACACACACACACACACAGACCAACAGAACAAAGGCGGCAGAGACAGAGGAGGTGATAGGAAAAAAAAGAAAGAGGTTGCCTCTTCATTAATCCCTGAACAATATGCCAACAGTTTCTTACTCACTCATTCACTAAAGAAAATGTTCATTTATTTGGTCACACTCACTCACTCATTCAATTCTGTGGAGTTCCCAGTGATTTGCAGGTTAAAAGAAATCCAGATAACAGAGTTAAAACGTGACCAATTTGACTGAAAAGTGCAACGTCAAGGTGACGTCGTAAATTCATTTTAAATGACTCGATTTCAGCGTGTAGTTAGCACCATACAGTGCCGCAGGGATGACGTATTCTTGTAGACCAACCCTGAAGTAAGCGTCACTCTGGTTCCCTCCACAAAAGGCCAATGGGATTTTTACATTGGCTTTTGGATGATTACAGAAAATAAACTGAATAAACTGTGACAAATAAAAGTTTATGATGCTGAGACGTTTTGTTCAGCACGATAATCACACATGAACATCACTTTTTATCATTTGTGAAGCTTAAATACAATCACCAAAAGCGTGACAGTGAATAAGTAACATGAACACAATGTCAGACCAGATAATGAAGTGAAAACTAGACTAAAAACACTTTAAATCCACATTTATGCCAGGTTTAACTTGACCACTTTAGACCTGTAAACCAAAGCTCACTCACTCACTCACAGTACCGTATGTGCATTTGCATGCATGTGCATACACGGGCGCATGAAGAAAGTAGAGAGGGAGCTGAGGAGAGAGGGGTTTTTGCCTGTTCATTAATCTGTGTGTAATCCCTGCAGAGAGCGGCTGAAACACTGCAGTTGTGGGCCATTCTCAGTCAGCACGAAAACCTGCACAGTCAGGCAAAAAAAAAAAAAAAAAACCCAGCAAGAGGACATTTAGGTCAGACACAGAGGTGTGACTCTTCAGTTTTTCCTCATAAACACAGCGGCTGTTATTTGATTTATGTCAAACATGGGGTTTGGAAAATTCCCTCTCAGTAAGGATTCTTGTCTTTGTTTATGTCCTCACAACACTTCTGACACCATTATCCAACAGCCACAGGGAAATTTAAAGGAGCCAAACTGCTGAGAGGGATGGGTAAAAGACACAGACAGCCCTCTGTAAAGTACGGAGGGTTCGCTCTGTGGCGAGCTGGTCAAGTGGAAGAACAAATATGAGACTCGCGGTGCATCAAGATCAATGAACACCTGCGCTTTAAGTGACGACCTTAAGGAGAGCATCGGCCTCAGACTGTGAAGCTGCTTCTGTGCTCCGTCCAAACATGTGTGAATGTGTGAAATAGAGCCTCACTAATACTGGACTATTCACGCCCAATACCTAAAGAAAAATTAAAAAAATTAAAAAATACTCCACCAACGACAGTCTTTTAACATAAACAAACATCTCAGTTCTCGCCGGTGCGTCGAACTCTACCTTTGACCTCTGAACATCTACTGTTCCATTACAAAATGGAAGACAATGGGATACAACTGAAAGCACCAGAACAACAAGAATGAATTTCAATCCCCATCTCAAACATATTTTTTATCATTTCCATAGAGCAACTTTCTTGCTATTTATTGACTCATATAAATATATATTTATATATATTGCACTTTTTCGTTCTCATCACAGGCTGCGTTCAAAACATTCATTTCAAATCTGACTGCCATTTTAACCAATGGCTAGTTCCACTTCACCGAGAGCTAGCTTCACTATTAGCAAGTAGTAGCTGCTGTTTGTAGCAGTACTTGTTTGAAACTGTTGACTGAAATTATATTTGATGTGACTTATAATATGATTTTAATGGAAATGCCACAGTGTAAACACACGACCTCAATCCGCCGGGCGTAAAGTCACTCGCTGCTTAAAGAGCGACCACAGAACACGACCGCAGGCTCCCTCAGATTACAGACCCGACGGTTGCTGACTTGTTTCGTGTACATTAGCATATGTCAACCACAGGTGAGCCTCTGCGTCTTCCTTCCAGTTGCTGCAGGTTCATATGTTTGGACCTTCTGCCTCCAGCGCTGCACATCTGTTAATTTCGCCGTGTATTTATTTGTCCAGAGATGAGCCGAGCGCGCCATTGTTTACATCTGCTTTTGTTTTTTATGACACAAATCAACTCAGTGTGAATGAAGCGGACCGGTTGTGGGTTTTGTTGTCCGTATCGCAGACATCAGCCCTTATGACACTTGCCCTGCAGTGCATCTTAGTGAAATCCAACAGTGAGCATCTGGAGCGGGTTTAGCATCCGAATCCCAGAGTCCCTTTGATGAGGCTGGGAGCGTAATGGATCTGAATTCCTGCGGTGTCCTCTGGGTGCCAGGGCTGTTGAATAGTTGGCCCTTAGCCTAGCGTCAGCAACGTGATTGGTGTTGTGATTCAGATGGTGCAGTGCCTGTGTATTAGCAGGGATAACTCAAAGCTTAGTGTTTTTCTTCTACGACCTCCAGTGTTTATGGCGGCTCGGGGGGGTCACTCCACTAAAAACCCCAACCCCCCCCCCCCCCCCCCCCCCCCCCCGGCTTCTGCTTCCACAGTATCAATTTACCACCGGGAGTTTCGCTCCAGCTTCTACCAGTGAAAGGCATGGAGATAAGACGGGAAATTAGTCACGACTGACAGAGTTTTACTATGTTCTCCATGTAGGTCACCAAACTGATACGGCACAGACACACATGACGTCCACGTACAGGCAGCCCTGCTTCATCTTTACTCTATTATTGTGATAAAAACTGGACTCATTGAGGATAAGGTTAAATTAGAAACATGGGAATAAAAAAAAAAAAAAAAACTCCATTACAAGTGGAAGTAAAATTTTCGTCAGTGAAGTGTGATTAAGAAAACGGTGAATAATGGTCTCGTTCTGAGTAAATCTTAATTATTGGACATAATCAAGTGACAAAAATCGTTTAAAACAGAAAAACAAAATGCACGTCCCCAACATTTAAAATCTTTACTTTTACTTTTGTTTAATTCCCAATTTTTATGGTATTGCTCATGTCCTCAATGTTCCTTCCTTTGGATCTATGGAAGGATTAATTCTTCAACCTCTTTCACTCTTTCAAAACTCTTGAGATAATTTAAATCGTCATTGTCAGCGAGTGAAACAAGGCTTTCTTTCTACGTAGCAACACTGAGATTAAGAGCTTATTAAATTCAGTGTAAAATCTTGGTCTGCAAATTCACTAGAAGGTCTAGTGAAGCAGAGCAAGAGCAGAGGTACAACGTTTCCAGCTTTAATGCACAATATAGAATGAGTGCATATAAAAAAAAAGAAAACCAAGGCAGAACTACTCAAAGTACTTGAAAACTGTCTCTCTCCTTGAATCCGCAGAGTCGTCACATGAACTAATGGCTGCTCTGAAACCCAGGTGACACACGCCGAGCCGACCTGAATCACGGCTAAACATATTGAAACTGGCCTTTATTTTCAATTATAATCAATTGAAAAATCAACAAAAAACTGATTTTCCCTTCAGATCTGCAGCTCTTCATTCACACACTTAAAATATAAGGGTACAAAAACAGTGGACTGGCACTTTGATTGTTAATTATTTAATTTATTTTGACTACCTACCTGCCAAGCACACAGGTGTACCTTGGCTGCTGTCATGGTTTCCATGTGAAAGCACTTGAACTTTTAACTGTGGTCATTACACTTCCTGCGTGCTCGGCGCACAATGGATGCTATGTGGATATAAGACGGAGCTCCCTTGCATTGCACCTGTATGGTACATTATAATTCCATCCATCATAATTCCAATTGCACCTGTGTTCAAGCTTTGGCCCCTCGTGTGCCATTAGCATTTCCACTAGCACTGTATGAGGGTTAGCTGCTAGCCAGCGCGGCTGTGAATTATGATTCTGGTGGCATTTTTTATTTATTTTTTATTTTTTTGCATATCTGTATATGGGAGGTTTAGCTTTTGGTGTTAGCATTAGCGATTCTGACGGCATTTAATGTGCAGGGGAGGGCTGGCTGTAAGAGCTGCGTTAGCCGCTGTGTGTTGTGATTCCCATGGTGTAGCCGGGCATGGGAGCCATGCGGCGTGTGGCGGATCGTCCCAGGTGGTGAGCTGTCAAGATGAGGATCAAAGAGCAGAGGAGTGGACCTCACACACACACACACACACACACACACACACACATAGATAGACATTCCCTGCAGTGTTCCAGTTCCACCTGTTTAAGAGTCAGCACACTCGCGCCTCACACACACAAAGCTACAGAAAAGCCACTGAGAGCACACATATTATTTTAAGTGTATGTCTGCATGTGTGCGTTTAAGTCACAGACAAACATACCTGTACGACAACCTTGAACGGGTGAAAAAGTGCTGCAGACCAGCATAAATAAGCTCTCTCCGTCCATTTGTATGTACGTGCGTCTTTTTCTCTCGCAGCACAAACATTTACCTGAAGGCCGAGAGGGCTCAGAGCAGGGAGATACTCTCTGCTTGTGCTGTTGAAGAGGGACACTCACAAACACACACAGGAGACGCACACGCACACAACCTCGGACAGAAGGGAAGAAATCTATTAAGACGCTCGTGTGTGTGTGTGTGTGTGTACGGGTGAGACAGATGAACACGACGTGGGAAAGACAAAAAAATAAATAAAAGAAGAAGAAGAAGAAGAAGAAGAAGAAGACGAGGGGAGAGGAAGAGCGGCTGTGAGCGGAATAGCGAGCAGAGGAGGGAGATGCCTGTTCATAAATGCTTTATG